CGGTTAACCGTTATAGAGTTTTACTGCTTAGACACTGTTCAGATTATCTTTATATCTTATTCTGATGTATTTTTGAATTTACGAATTTAGTATATTTTCATAAATAATGAGTAGTTTTCATTCTTTCTTCGAATAATATACATTTCATGTTTTTTGAAAAGGGAGCCTAATGTGCTGTTTAAAGCATATCAGGGAATTCAAGTTTCTAATGTTTACTCGACGTAGTTGGAAAAGCCAGCAATTCCCGAACCTTTGGTATCATAGGAGGGGCAAAGTTAAGAAATAGCGGTTCAAGAGATGCGAAAGCACATCTGACCTTCAGCTGACCAATCAGAATAGCCGTTTAATTACTAGAAAAATATAGATAACAATTATGAGCACCCTAATAAAAATGTTTGCTAGGAAAATACAGGTAATGAAATTGAAACACTCCGACCCAACCCTAATAGTAACCTAAAACTAACAACTTGTCAACCCTTTATCCAAACAATACCAAAAAATGCCGGATAATATTCAGAAATGCTTTTGGAAAGCGTGCGCTTTGTGCGGCCAATATAACTAGCTCCACACGAGCACGTGAATTTATAAACACACATTGAGGTGGCCCAAAGCGGCAGTTTATCCTTGACACATTCGTTGATCATTTGTCGGCTGAAAAATTGATATGTAGCTCAGCCATAAAGAAGGCTTTCCTCAGTGATCTGCACAAGCGATTCTTCAGGATCTGAGCTGCGGTATCACCTTTAAATTCAACACTCATAAATAGAAGTTTTTTCGGCACCGTTTGGATTCTTTCAGGCTTTTCCCTTAACTTCATGTTTTTATCGATAAATCTTGGAGGATATCCATTCTCTAAGAGAACTTGTCTGAGTCGCCCAAGTTCCCATCGATTGTATCACTTGAACATATCCTCCTTATTCTTGAAGATAAAGAATGGATCAGATTTCTCTTTCTTCTTAAAGAGACCAAGCTATGGAAATTTGTTACTGACCATTCCATGTTGGTTTCCTGTAGATCGATCTTTGAAGGGAACCATCAGATCTCCTCTTAGAAAAACATCCAAGAAATGGAATTCCGAGTTAATCTCTGATTCCGATGTGAACTTGATGGCATGATAGCAGCTGTTGAACTCCTGAGTTATTAATTCGATGTCGTATTGTTGTCACATAGATGAAAGTATCATCCATGTATCTTTGGTACAGATGGAAACTGTCGACAGTAGGCCGTGAATACTATTCTCCAAACTAGCTAAGAAGCAGTCTGCTAGTAAAGGACCCAATTGTGACCCCATTGTCACTCCATCTCTTTGTCTATAAATCGCGTTGTTGAACTTGAACTGGACATTTAGAGTGCACCTCAAAAGTAGTTCCTTTAAGTAGTGAATCGGAACATATACGTCTACATTATTATCCTCAATGAATTTGCATATAACGCAGATAGTTTCAGTGAGGGGAACGTTGGCGAAAAACGAAGTAACATCTATAGATATCATTTTCTTTCCGGATACATTAGCATCACTGATTGAATCGAAAAATTCAAACGAATCAGAAACATTATGCTTGCAGAGGTTATTTCTGATAGGTAATAGGATTTGTGTGAGCCATTTGACAGTAGTATGATATGTAGAATTTGTAATGTCCAAGATTTGACGTAGTGGCACGTTCTCTTTGTGCACTTTCGGTAGACCATATAATAGAATAGTATTTTACTGCCTACTATCGACATATTCCACTCGGAACCCAAGGGAACAATAATAATATTAGTCTTTATATATGCAGGTATTAGAATAAAATCATTTGATAATTTTGGCTCCTACAAATCTTAGTAGCCAGGTTTTTCTCTGTATATTGATTGTTTAGAAGGACTGACTGATTTTAACTGTACATCCTGTGTCAGTCAGGTGTTTAGCGATTTCATCCACAAACACTTTCTTACTTTTCATATGAATATCGTTGTGTATATGCTAAGGAAATCTAGTAGATGTTCTCCTTCAACTCCTTTCCAATTACTTGCTACTGCAAGTAGAATATAAATGAGTAAATACAGTCGGAGTTGACATGAACTGTGGACTGTATTAGTATATCACTTGTTCCACAACTAAGCTTCCTGAGTTAAAATAATTTATGAAGTATGTTATATATTTTTGCATTTGTAGTAATTTACATCATTTCTAACAAAGCTGTTAGCAGATGATGAAAAGCCGTTCTCCTTTTGATGTTACTTAGTCGACGGTGGCTAGTGGCAGGACATAGGATGCTCATTTCCTTTTTAGTCAGGACTCATCAGCTGGAGGTGTCTGTATACCCAATGACCAATGACTTTCCCACTGAGACTCGAACTTAGTACTCAGCACATTCACATGACAAGTCTTGAATCGAATGAAATGCGCATTATGGATTATGCTGCTAGCTACGAACGAAATAAAAAAAACACAAGAGTGAACTCATGTTGTTTTGTTCCAGAGGTTTTTCTTAATCTTCTCACTACATTATTTGCCTATGGTAGATTTTGATTTTTAAACCTGCTATATCTGTGTAAATGTATGAATTCTTTGGAATGATCAGTGGTTAGGCATATATGATTTTTCTTTGTCATATGGAACTTTAATAATAAATCTATTTTCACGCATTGGTTTTGTAGGGATTTTGTTTGATTGCATGGAGGATTTCCTCATAAGCTGACATTGGTTAGAGAACCATTGGAAAACCAGCCAGGGAGTACTGGATAGTCATCTTTTTCGTCTAGTTTGCAACTCTTCATCAGTACGCACCCACCGTGAACTTCTGGTTAAAAGGCGAGCTAACTCGTAGACCATTAAGCCCTGGGACCCACCCGATTCAATGGCCAGTGCATGAATTCTAACTTCTGCCAATTTACGACATAGCGCAACCCCTAGTCAATGTCTTCGGCGAGTATTTATCCTCACACCCGACCTGCTGCAACCTACTGGTCACGACTTCTCAAATTTCTAAATTTCAGTGTTTCACTGAAAGAACAAGTTTATGCATATGCAGTGATGGATAAGGACACAGCTTTCAAACACAAAATTGTCCGAAACTCTGGACTTTAGAATGATAAGGGGAACAACAGATCAGCACTCGAGCCGAAGTAAAACACTATTGTGGTGAGAGCTATCTGCAAGCCAAAATTGTAGACAACAATTTACGTCAGTGAACACGTCCTGAATCAAGGTCATGGAAAAAAAACAATAACAAAACTTAACCTTGAGAAAATCACCAGCCAATCACAGTGGAGTTATGGGGTGTGGAAATATGATTCACAGATATATGTGACTTGATTTTCTGAGAAACGGCCATAAAGAGATCACAGAATAACCTTCAGCAAGAAAATAACCAATCAGAAGAGGTTACTTCTATGCTTACAAAATGCTAATAATAATGCACATAAAAATCTATGAATATCTCTTGATTTTCTCAATAAAAGGTCTGTCGCCTGGCCTTTGTCTTCTGTTGTTACACTATCACCAGTGTTATCTCGCAAACAATTTGATTATAGTTTAAAAAAGCCTGCATAGTCGTCTACTCACTGCTCAGATCGTTGAAATATAAGTTTTCAAGACGGTTTATTCAACAACTTCAAGTTCAAAGTGAAAAAATATCATTCTGGTTAACGTCATCAAACATAATGTACTTATCGAATACATTAAATTGTTCAGTCTCGAAACAACAATTTGTCTTCACTTCTTCTTCTATATGGTTCAGTTAAACGATTCAATTACATTTTTTTGTATTACCGTGTGCATTCCATTGTACGTCAGTTAAAGCAAATAACTCCGGTAAAATCAGAAGTATGAGCAGACACTTGTTCGTATAATGTATATGCATATATACATAGATGAATATTCGTTTATGGTTAGAAGGAAGAAGTATATATATATATATATATATATTTGCGAAACTGAAAGATTATTGATTTTCTCATAAATTGATTTTTTTATCTTTAAGTATTGCATTATACATTTGTCAATCATTTTAAGTCTATATATTTCCAATGAAACTCTGAGTGTATTATTTCTTCAATATTATCTTATGCAACACAGCTTTACAGAAAAAGTACAAATGACTGATTTAGTAACTCTTGTTTGAATAGTTAACAATTTTCGCTGTATGCCTTTAACATTCAAAGTTAATTTACAAAAAGATCTCTTTAGATAACCACTAGTAATTAGGAAGCACTAAACAGCTGCTTCCTTCTTGTTTAGGACTTTTTAACAGTATGCACCCATGCCCATACTGGAAATCAAACCAAGGACCTTCAGATTATGAGACAAACCAGTTGACCATTCAAACACCATAACAAAATTCAACAGCCTATAGATTATAACTTCTATTTTTTTCTTTTCTTGCACGTTCCCCAGTGGAATATAAGACTTCAAGCTAGTGGCTTGAAGTTTCTGTAGCAGTGGTGTTTTTTTGGGGTTGCTAGCCTTATGTCTAGCCTTTCATCTTTACCAAGATTATTTCTGGCTTAGCAAGGTAAAGGAGTGAGTCGGCCGGAGATCGAACCCCGGACCATGTGCATGGTCAGCGAGCGTCCTAACTGCTATGCCACCGATGAACAATAACTTGATTATAAATAAAATTTTCACTCAATCGATTCCTCGTCGTTTTCTCAACAGGCGACAGGATGTGTGTTACAAATCCATTTTTTACTTGTCACCTAACTAACTCAAACATGATGACACCAAATTTGAAAGCAACAAATAGTAGAAGTTCAATTTTAGTACACTGAGCACGTGGTTCAGTAGTAGAGTGCTCACTAATCGGGTTCGATTCCTGGTCGACACGTTTCTACATCTCGCTTAGACGACAGTGAAGTTGAGCATAGGGCTGTTGAATATATTTTTATAAAGTTATCTAAGTAATATATTCTAAAGAAATATTCTAACCGTACCTATCGAAATATCAATCAAACTGAGCTCATTTTAACTAACCATTGACTGTTCACAATGATTAATAAAACTATTATTTTTTATCCAGGTCTGGCACGTTCACAGTCTGTACCAATCAAAACGTACTCGAGTGAAGTAGTAACACTTTGGTGAGTCAGTGAGTGAGTAAAATATCTCTTTCCGTTTTTTTTCTTCAAAACTTCTTTTTGTTTGCGTGTTTAACTTAGAGTCATGTTAGTCATTATACTTATCAGTATTGTATTCTGTTAGCAGACTACTTTTTTCTACGTGATCCTTAATTGTCATCCGTAGTTTTTATTCAACTCGATTGTATAATTGATAGGAATAATTTTAGTCATTCACATTATGAATAATGTTCATGTGGCAACTATTTAGTCTGAAATGACTGTCTTTGCGGATGCATAATATGTGAACACTTATCACCAGGTAGCTTTCTGTAACAAAATCAAGACATATTATGCAACAAGATATCTGAGAACCTAACAGATATAGAAAAATAATGTGATTTGTATCCACATGGTGTGTGTTTGTTTTGACAGTCTATTATATTTTGCTATGTGTATATGGATCGATATTTCATCATAACTGACATATGCTTTTGTCTGTCCACTAACTAAATAAACAATGTATGACCTTGTTGTCACATGACATTACAACCAATCATGTTAAGACTGGCTATTCATTGGTTCATGTGTATTAGTCATTTTCATATATACTTTGTACTGTATTCTTGTTGTTTCCCACGTCCGTACATTTCGTGCTTATTCACTCATACTCTTGTGTGACAATTATTTCCCTTGTCTGGAAAATACAGGTATCATCGTAAACCTCGTGGTCTTCTGATTTCCCTCTTTCCGCGTCAGGACTATTAACTACTCGACGAGTACATAACATAACTGGCGACGGGGAAAACTCTAATAACTCACTCAGCAGCAGTACATAACATACAGCATCAGTAGTGTTGAATGATATTCAGAATGTGTCAACTTTATACTTCCTTAAGATATGAAGTAGTTAGCTAGTTAGCTAAGAGCTATAAGTCAGACACATATTGTAGTTGCTGACGATACTAACCAGTAGCCCATGCTGAGTTGGATAAAGTAGGGTTCGAATCAAACAGTTGGCCAACTTACTTAACATCAGTCCAAAGTGTACCACAGTGGTGAATCACTCACCTTGGCCTTGAGGTCAATCGTCAGTCCGAATAGCTCAGTGGCAACATCTATGATTGGAACACTGAATTACGTGTGTTTAGGCCTCAGAAAGAATGTCAGTCCCTTCGAGATTGCTTATGTTCCTTATTGATGAATGACGATAAGCACTAAACATAAAACCAGGACATACTGTAAGTTTCTTTAAATCAATTTGTTGGTAGTGGTAATTCCAAGAAGTACCAGCTTCAAGGTCAACCAACACGCTTGTACTGAACATGTAAGGAATTATAGCATTACAACATTTAAAATGAATTAACGCAGTCTACAGATTATTTCTGTGATTTATTTTAATCCTTTGCGTTCCGAGCTGCAAACTTAAGTTCTGAAGTTTCAGTAGCACTGGTGTTTATTTTTTTTCGGCATGGAGTTGCTAGACTTATGCCCAACCTTCATTCTTTACTGGCCTTACCACCGGCTTAGCGAGGTTTAGAAGTGTTTCAGTCAGAGATCGAGTCCCAGACCACATGTAACGTGGTTGGCGAGTATTCTACCACTGAACCGCCGACACAGTCTACCGAAAAAGGTGTAAAATAGCATAGATAATTTCCTTTATTTTATTACTATCACAGATAGACAGCGGGCCGGGCAACGATGAAACAGGCACAAAATGGGCCCACACAAAATACTTGGAGGATATGGAATTCGCCGATGATATATGTCTGATTTCCCACAAATTGGAAGATATGCAAGTGAAAAGCAACAAGTTGATACAAGGAGCATCCACAGAAGATAAGACTTCAGGTGAACATAGAGAAAACAGAGGTGATGAAGCCGGGTGATGGCCAACAGCAACATCAACAACACCAGACAACAATCCGCCAGCATTAATGTGAGAAATCTGAAAGAAGCGACCTCCTTTACCTACACACCTACCTACCTCGGAAGCATCGTTTCAACTACAGACGGATGAACTGATGAGGATGTCAAAGCAGCGACGATCGGAAAAGCAAGACAAGCTTTCATCACTCTCAAGTCTGTGTGGAGGTCAACAACACTCATCATCAAAAATAAGATCCGAATTTTCAACTCCAATGTGAAGTCAGTGCTACTTACTATACAGATCAGAGACTTGGCGCGTCATAAAGAGCACCTCAAACAAACTATATACCTCCACCAACAACTGTCTTCGCTTAATACTACTCAGGATCAGATGGCCGGCCAGAAAAAGTCATCAATAGTGAGGGATCTCTGGCAATGAACGAACCAATCCAGCGAAAATAGATTGTGAGATAGATATGCAGGAAGAAATGGAGGTGGATTAGCCATACTCTGAGAAAACAAACCATCAGGTGAGTGACATCATACGCCAGGCCATCTCTCGAGTGGAACCCGAATGGGATGTGGCGAGTTGGTCGTCAGTGCGAAGGTGGCGTGACCTGGAGGAGGTGATGTGAAGAGGAGATGAGAGCATATAGGCAGACGTGGAGCTAGATGGGACCACTGGCAGAAAAGCAGACGCAATGGAGACGCGCGGCTGAAGCCCTATGTTCCTCCAGGAAATAAAGAAAACAATAATAATAATCAAAAAATTGTAAGAATTTAGTTCCCTCAGTGGAGTTGTTTGCCAATTTACATAACACAAGCACACACTTGCATCATGTGAGTAGCATTTTACCAAGATGATCTTAATTCAGATTCACTTTTAAAAACAAATTAGAAACCAATACATGTTTATGTAGTGACAAGAAGCCACATGACGCCTATAAAATTGTATAAACAAGAAACTAACAAGGTTAACCAATGCTATCAAAAAATGATTAACTAAAGTTTAAAAATTGATTGTGAATTGTGTTCCCTTGAATTTACACTTCCATCTTCTGAAAAGAAAAAGAAAGGAAGTAATCAAGTAAGTGTATAAATGAGGAAATAGCTTTGAAGACACAGAAATGAAGGTAGCATTCTTACTGACTATCTTCAGGCTTTTATAAGCTTAGGTGATATAGGTTCCAACTAGTAGTTAGAATAGGGTGTTTAACACTTCCAATGGTTTATTTCCCCCGCACATTCTTTATGAGTAGAACTTTGAAGCGATTATATTCAAAGTGAGTGATTGATTGGTCATGTAACGTAATGTGATTTATAAATCGTGATACCTTGTAAAGTATGCAATGGTGAATGAATCAAATAGTTAGTTTTAAATGGTTTCCCAGCTGTCAACTGATTCCACTTATTTAGGATGCAACATTCCATGAAACAGTCAAGCTGCAGTTCAACTTATCCTAGTTCACGTCACCGTATATAATACATCACATCAATCGAAAAGTTTAAATAAGCTATAGATGCTTTCAAATGTTAACATTTTGTTCATCATTGAGGCGAATAGTCCACCGTGATTGCTCTCAGTATAAAGTTGTAAAAAGACACGAATTTCCGCGAAAATGTAAAATTGTGGTAGACTGCTTATACTATCAGACAGTGGATCAAACCATCAGGCGAAATATATAACATGTTCAAACAAAAGAAATAAAATATTCATGTTTGTATCAACACCTCAATAATCATGGGGTCAAGTACTTTTACAATAAACTTAAATAAACAAACAAATTTAATTTTCACCTCAGTCTGAAGGTTTTTGGGAAGCTTATTTCAAAACAGAACTCATCATGAATAGACATTAATAAGTTGGTCATTGAAAATACAGGAAATGGTGAGACTTCATCTCAGTTTACTGTGAGCTTCTTCGACACTGAAGTGACACACTCTGAATGTCTAAGGAAGTCGACAACTTTTAAATTACTTAGAGATACCTTTCCCAATCAACCACTAAGTTTAGCTAGTGCTAGACACATTCCTAGTAAAACATAGGACTTCGACAGCATGCCTCCATTTCATCCTATCTATTGCAGTCCTCTTTACCTAGCTTCACGATTGTTCATAAGCTCTCATCTTTTCCTGACACAATCTCCTCCATGTAACCCTAGGGCACTCGACTTTCCGTTTCCTATTCGACTTCCACTTGAGGTTCTACCTGGTGTGCTAGGTCGCTCAACGGTTTCCTGAGAGTGTATCCAATCCATCCTCATTTCTTTCTACATATCTGTTAGGCAACAGGTTACTGGTTGATTTGTTCCCAAAGTTTCTTGTTGCTAATCGTTTACAGTCAACTAACTGATCATCAGTATAAAGCCATAGAATGCAACTGTTGATAAAAGTCTGGAGCATGCAGTTGGTAGTCCTTAGCCATAACCGTATGGCATATTATGATGTCTTTAGGAAAATTCATATTTGCTTCTTTGGTGCATTTAGAGTTCAAGTTAAAGACTGCGTCAAGCTATCTAATTTCTTATTGAAGCTCTATGTAATTGAAAAATGTGCACTAAATGATGCCCAGATACGAATGAATATAGCTAGCTAGCTAACTATCCTTAAATATCACTCAAAATCTAGTCTGCATTTTGTCCACTTTTACCACTGAAACTAATGCTTCCATTATAATGCATTTAATGCAACAGGTATCGACCACCTGATGTGCTTCTAGGTGATAAAAACTACTCTGGTCACATTGATATTTGGGGAGTTGGTTGCATTCTTTATGAAATGACAACTGGTTATAGTCTTTTTCCTGGTACTTCAAAAGAAGATCAAGTAAAGATTATCTTTAAAAAATTTGGTATGTTGATTATTTTTTTTCAGTCTGTACAAATTTTAAAATGTAAATATTTTAAATTTCTAGTGAAATTATCTGCAGAAGTTGACTTCACATAAGTCAGAAGACAAGTATACACGGAGAGGAAATATTTCAGGTATATATAAGGCGATAAAAAAAAAAGTTTTATGAGGTTCATCTGAGCACTTCTACCGGGAAATTGATTGATTCGCCTATACTCATTTGATCACTGAGTTAAATTACTTATGAATAATATTCTATGCTCAGGTGTTTGACGATCATTAAAAACATTAAGAAAAAATGTGATCCCTTCGTGTTATGTAACCATTGATTCAGCTGCAAAAAATTATTTTTTTTTCTAGGAAACTTGTGATCGCTAGGTAAATTTACTAAAGTTATCTTGAATTCCTGAAATTTCTTTTACCGAAATACTAAAAAATCGGTATTTTTTCTGATCTCCTTACAGTTAGAAAAACTATGTGATTTCAGTCTTAACTTTCCTAAAACAAAAACATTATCATTGGCAAAGCACAAAAGCTTTTTTCAAATATGTTGTACCTCTTTCAGATCAACATACAATTTCACAACAAAGAAGAGACGAAATTGTTAAACAATTCTGTCACTAATGTCTTTTGATATCTGTCTAGTCAATAAACCCTAGAAAATCACTCGAATGTAACATTTATGATTTTTTAAGGTGATTAACCAGATAAATTTCATCACGGTCCAACATCAGCTGAGGACTCATTGAAAACCATAGAGTAATTGAGAGTAATGTCTCGTCTCAATTTGAGACTTCTCATCAGTTCTCACTCACAACTCTATCAGGGGTCAAAGCTGGGACTTTCAGGTTATGAGGCCAACTCATCGGCCGATTAGCCACTTAAGTCTGAGCTGACCTCCATCAGTTTGTGATATAACCATACCACCAACTAAATGCTATCAATGAGTACCCTTTTTGGTGGACCAAGAATTATCATAACAGCATCAAGATATACACTAAGTAACCACTAACGAGCTGGAGTTTTGTATTTAGTTTATTTAGAAACCTACATTAAAACAAATCCAAATCTCTGCAAATTTCACAGTCTAAAAATCAATCTCCAGCTCATTGGTGGTCACTGGATGAGTGTTTTGAAGCCGAAGTGGGAGGTCGTGGCCAGTGTGGCCCTTTACGTTACAGTATATAGGATACAAATCGATAGCGTATGGCTGGTGGTAGGATTATATCACGAACTGATAGGAATCAGAATTTACAAGGCATTGAATTCCGACCAATGAGTTAGCCTCGTAACCTAAAAGTCCCAACTTTGATCCTTGATAGAAGTGTGAGTGCGAGCTTGTGAAGAGTCTCAAACTAGGACGAGAAAGGTATCCATTACTCTCTGGTTATTGGTGATTCTTTAAAACTTGTCGGGCTGCGACGAAATTTACTTCGAACGTATTCAGAATCCTGAAAAAACCCAAGAGTTGGTAGTACCAAATATTTTATGCATGCAATTTTTATAAACTCGCATAACTTTGAGTTTAATTCCGTTGCGGAATAATGCCATCTGATGAAACTCACAATGGTACCGTATTATTAATTCATCGATGAGATTTCAAGCACAAGCTACCCTCTTCAGCTGGGTCCACGCTTGAACATAATCTGTCATCCCCTTCTCGCCACACGATTTCCTGCATGTCACCCTCGTACTGACAAACCACTTTTGGCTTCACATTTCGACTCCACTCGATCAATGGCCTGCATTGCACGCGATGTCATTAGACGACCTCCTCAACGTATGCCTGATCCCTCTCCCTTTTACTGCATATTTGTTGGACAACTGGCTCTTAACTGATTTGTTCATCGCCAGAGTATTTTGCTGCTAATTTTTCCTGGCCTTCATTGAGGAGCCAACCAGACAGCGAAGGCGGCAACTGTTGATAAAAGTTTTCTGTAACTTGCTTGAAATTTTTTTTTCGTGACACGCAGTACAAGTTTCTGACCTGTATAGAATAATTGAGTGACTTCATATTTGTGTTGAAAACTCTACTACAGTATCCAGGTTCTATTTTAACACAAACTCGGAAAAAACATAACTAACCCTAACAAACCAAACTATAGAATATTAATCTGATGCTCGCTTGCTACAGGATAGAGTTTCCTGGAGTTCTAATGAGAAGTCGTGACCAGTGAGGTCCAATTAGATGCCACGTGTGTGGATGGATGTCCCACCAACGACAATGAGTCGCGCTAAATCATGAATTGGTAGAGGTTAGAATTCATGAGCCATTGAATCGGGCCTCAGTCTCTGAATGGTATACGAGCTAGCTTGTCTTGTAACCAGAAGGTCCTGGGTTCGAATTTCAGTGGGTATGTACTGCCGATGATTCCCAAAACGAGGATGGAACAACTATCCAGTACTCCAGTGCCGGTTTTCAATGATTCTCTAACTGATATCAATCAGTGATCAACTCGTAAAAACATTACTAACCCTTACAAACCAAATTGAGTAATTTAGTTGTTTCTTTTTTAAAACATTTATATCTAATTTATCCTCTCTCTTCACACTTTATATTTCAATAATCTATTTTTTAGGAATTCCACCGGATTCCTACTGGCCAGGTTTAAGGAATAATTCAAAATTTATAGAATATTTCAGTCCACATCAAAAAGATCATCCTAAAGCATCCAACTTTTCTAAATCATCATCTGATCTTCGTGAATCTAATGAAAAAGTTATAGTCCTAAAACAAAATAAAGTTGATGAGACTAGTTCTATGACTGTTGATGAATACAATAGTCATATAATGAAAAAACTTTCATCTTGTGCTTCTAGATTAAATCCAGAAGGACTAGATTTATTATTCTCATGTCTTGCACTAGTTGGATTTCGTCGAATCACAGCATTCAATGCATTGAAACACGCATATTTTCAAGATATTCTACCCTCTAGTATAAATGTACACGATTTATTACCAGAACAATCAATTGCCTTTCTTGCTGGTGAACACATAAAATCGAAATTCAGATCTCAATTCGAGTATAGCAGGGTTAAAAAAGATTCAATAACTCTAAGCTCTGCAGCAGCCTATGGTAATAAACTAAACGGATATGAGACGTTATCAAAAAGTTTGACAAATCTCAATACAAATGTTCCTCACCTGTCAAACGAGTCTAAAGTATCCAATTCATTGGCGTACATACGTCAGTCAGTTGATCAAACCTCCTCTAAAGACAGTCAACCGTTTCAACCAATTCAGTCGAAAGAACCCCAGAAATCTCGTCAACGTCGTCATCATTTATATCATACTAAGAGAAATGCAAATACTACTACCCAGAAGAATGATTCACCTAAAAGTTGTAGCCTATCTGACATTGACTATTCGCTTAGTGTATGCAGTGATTATGATTTAGTATTTCACAGGAATGTTAAACAACGTCAGCCACCGCCACCGCATACAACAACATCATCATCAACAACACCACCAACAACAACAACAATTTCATTAACATCAATCAATAAAGAAGTAGATTTAGACAAACAGACAAAATTATCCAATAGAAAGTTTAGATCTATTTCATCAGTACTAGGGAGTAAATTATTGTCTTATCACAGGAGTAGTAGTAGTATTAGTAGTAGTGGATGCAGTAACAGTATTAGTAGTACTGCATCAATTCGTAATCAGACAACAAAGAGTTTGAAAACATCTCTCAAGCATAAATTATCTTCATTTCAGTCAAAGACGAAAGGACTTCGAAATCGGATAAAATCTTCATCGCATAATCAATTAATAATTGAACGTCCATCCAGTGCAGTACCAATAATAACTAAATCTTCTCAACAAACAAATCTAAGCTATTCAGGAGATGTGAAGAGTCAAAATGTCAATATTAACAGTACTAGGCTGCATGTGGATGATGACGTAATTACACATGGTGTCGAAAAGAATGTGACTATTAGTAAAACTTGTGATATAAAAAGTGACCAGGTGAGCTAAAGACTTATCAAACGTTTACATTTTTTATAATTATATTCATTTTTGTGCAATACAAGCATGAGATGCTCAGGTATCGATCTCGAAATAAGCTTTGTTGATCATTGTTACTAATATCATTATTATTAATACATTTAGTAAAATATATGGGACTAACCTAGTGTATGATTTTCGTATTGTGATGAATAAGAACCCTGTAATCTTCTAAACTATTGCTAATAAAGGTGTGTATCTACTGTGTATCTCATATGATTCGCCACCTGATGAGTCAGCTGAAAGGTAAAGAGTTGTGAAAGTCGATTTATCTTAATATATATATATATATATATATATATATATATATACTTAAAATTATTATATCACGAGGCAGCTAGAATAGCTTTTTGAAGAGTCTAGTTATTATTGTGCTGTGGACCGCCACCTTTTATAGACTAATATCTACCTCCATTCTACTAGAACTAGAACTTCAACTTTGCTTACTATTCCCCTGTGGTTTATCATATATACACCACTTATGATTCTGTTTGTCAAGTGTGATGCATCACAGACATCTGCTGCCTAATACGAATTGTTTGCTGTTAAATTTTCTATGATAATGCCCGCTTGTGCAATGTAATTGCCAGTTATTTTTTGTTAAGTTCAAATTTGTATCAGAGCAAAGTGACATTATACTGCTTGACTTAACAGTCAACTGTAAGATTTGATCACAAACTGCCTGTAATTAGAGAACCATTGAAAACCATCACGAAGTATTGGACGTCTTTCAGACTTTTCATCAATACTCACCCGTGTCTTCACTTTCAAGAGAAATCGTTGACCCTTCAACTTTCGGTACAAGAATTCTAACTTCTACCCATTAGCGATATAAAGCATTATCGCTAGCTAATGTTATCACTGGGCATCAGTTTTCACACCCAGTCTGATGGATTCCACCATCCACAAATTCCCGATAGAACTTCGAGTAATTTCTTCTTTGAGTCAGCGACTAGTGAACACTAGGTCAATTTTTTAAGTTTTGGTCTCAATTTCGACCATGAATTGACTTCAATCAGTGATCCACTGAATAGTCAAAGAGCTTAGCTTATGAATTAAAGGCCATGCATTCAATACCAGATGGGTCGCGTGTATGTGCCACTGAAGAGTCCCGAACTAGGAAGAAACAGCTGTCCAGTACTGCATCTCTTTTAATGATTCTCTAAATGATTTCGATTCATGATCAAACTTGAAATCAGTCCAAACCCTGAAAACCATCACTTGTAGATCAACTTTGTTTGAACTTTATTAAAACTGCATTATCAACGAAAAACAAATTTAAAGTCGAGAAGTACTCAAGTTTTTCTGGTTCATACATTTTCAAATATCTTATTTTAGTAAATCTAAATGCAAAAAAAGCAGGTAACTGATGTATTTCCTTTTCAATCTTTCTGATTCAAAACTGAATGTATTAACTAAATTACTACATTTTATTTTGGTGTAATATTAATATACGATGTTTTAAATTCTCACAAACAATAAAAGATGAGAGCCTAAGAAGATCGATCGACAGAAAAGCTACTTGGAATGGTCAACTAGGAAGCTTCTATAGCTGGGTACCCATTCAACAAAAGCGGAATTTAATTAAATCACTTGCCACCCGCATCCGACTCATCTGTAGTTCCGACGTTCTGGAAACAGTATTAGATATTCTAAGAGAAATCTTCATCCAAAATGGATACCCAATAAGATTGATCGACAAAAATATCAAACCAATAATTCGGAGAAAGGAAACTTCAATTGTGCCTAAAAAGAAACTTTACATGAAGCTGGATTTCAAGGGAGATTTAACAGGCGATATTCTCAAGAGAAGGATCACATTATCTCTGAGAAGAACATTCGTTGCAGTAACACTAGGAATAGTGTTCTCCAGTCGCCTACTGATCTGCAGAAGCCTCAAGGACAAGATCCCGCATCTGACCACTTCTATGTGCATATATCAGTTCACCTGCTGGTGTGGAGCCAGACAAGTACATCGGTCGTTTGACGCGCACCCTGTCCAAGAGGATTCAAGAACACTATCCAGCCAGCATGGTTGCGCAAAAGGCAACAGCGGCGCAATAAGGAGTGCGATAATTGAACACCTGGTTGATATTGATCATTCCACCTCAACAAACGTCCCCTTCAAAGTAATCTACAGAGTCACCAAAGGCAATACGGTTTCGTCTTCTATGTATCTCTGAAGCTCTGGCCATTCACATAGAAAAACCGGAGCTGTGCATACAAAAAAGAATTACTCAACCATTTCTACTGTCATGGTGACAACTTTGTTGATTTTGATGACTTAATTTTGTCTGTTTGGCTGTTCTTTAATGGCTCATAAATCTTCTATTCATTTAGAACTCTTACGTAATTTCGTGTTCTCTTTCTTGTTCCTATGCGTATCCTGAGTAAAACTTAATCATCAAACTATTCATATTGTTACATAACTTCTTTTTTAACAACTGGCTTGGACAACTCATCACCTTTGTTACTACCCTCATTTCATTAACACCTAATTTTCTTGACTGATTTTGTATTACGTAACTCCAACAACCAATCTTCACCTGTTTAGTTAAAATAACCATAACCAATTGTATTTTTATTTGACAAACTTAATGTAAACATATATACAAAACGACACATATATTTGTGATTGTACAGCTAAGGAAATGAATTCGCCGAAAAGAGACTCTCCGCTGAACTACGTGTTTTGTTTTCAATAAAAGAGAAGTTATAACTTCTACCAATTGGTGATTGTAGCGCGAAAACCGACCAGTCACATTGGCGGGTATTTGTCCTCACGCCAAAATGAATGGACTCCACCGGTCATGACTTCTACCTGGAACGCCTGCAGCCGATCACTAGTGAGTATCAGATTAGATTTCAGGAGTTATTTTGAGGGGATCTGATTTGTTGCATGTTTTAACCCTGGGTTAATATCAGTCAGAGAACCATTGAAAACCAAGGAGTACTCGACAGATGACTGGAACTCATCACCAGTAAGTACACACTGCAGTTCGAACCCAGGATCTCAAAAATCTAGGGCTACATAACGGGTAATTTCTCACTGACTAGAGGCATTTCCTTGTCTAGTCACCTACGTCTGTTGCATAAATTATTTCACTTTAGCCTGAATCATCATCATATTTAAAACGACTTTGAAAGTCACTGCTAGTTGTAAGTCAACTTATTTTAATTTCAATACGCTCACTCTAGCATTTGTGTAGTGATTGTGCAAATCAATTTTCATTGTTCAATGCATTTGATGCATATTTAAAACAAAAAAAAGATTTAGCCTTTTCTTTTAATTTATCCATGAATTGTTTGTTTCATCGCTCCACTTATGCCAAAATCTCGATGCAGAAGACGACTCAATGCTTTATCATTTTGTGTATAGGTAAATAACTTGAAATATGATTAATTATATGCAAGGTCAAAGCAGAGAAATGCTTTATAAAAATGACGAAATCATATGCATAAATAAAGTAATTTGTAAAATGCTTCCTGTTTATTTATCACTTCTTATTTTAAGAAAAATTCTATAAATTCTTATCAACCTGTCGATTAGATAAATAAAACGTATGTTTAAGTCTTTCTATGTCTAAGAAAAGGCGAAACTCTAATAAGAGAACTTCATGTTCAGACAAAAACACTTTTTACATCGCAAGAATTAATCATCAAACAGTCTGGTCTTGATTGACTATGGTGATTGAAATTTATCTATCTAGTGTACTTGCTAGTCAATCACTGAAATAATAATAATTATTATTATTTCCTTTAATTCTTTGAGGAACATAGCGCTTCAGCCACACGTCTCCATTGCGTTCGGTTCTCTGCTAGAGTTTTCACCTGGCTCCAAGTCTGGTCACATGCTTTCATCTCCTCCTCACATGACCTCCTCCAAGTCTACCTCGCACTGACGACCAACTCGCCGCTTCTCTTTCGGGTTCCACTCGAGCAATGGCATGTCTAGTGATGTCACTTGATGGTTTCCTCAGAGTATGGCCTCCAATCCATCTTCATTTCTTCCTGCCTATTTGTTGCACAATCGGTTCCTACTGAGTTGGTTCGCTCATTGCCAGAGATCCATTCCTGTTGCTGATCTTTTCTGGCCGGCCATCTGGTCTTGAGTATTGAGCGAAGACAGCTGTTGATGGAGATCTGTAGTTTGTTCGAGGTGCTGTTTATGACGCACCAAGTCTCTGATCCGTATAGTAAGTAGCACTGACTTCACATTGGAGTTGAAAATCCGGATCTTATTTTTGATGATGTGTGTTGTTGACCTCCACACAGACTTGAGAGTAATGAAAGCTTGTCTTGCTTTTCCGATCGTCGCTGCTTTGATATCCTCGTCAGTTCCGTCGCCTGTAGTTGAAACGATGCTTCCAAGGTAGGTGAAGGAGGTTGTTTCTTTCAGGTTCCTCCCATTTATGACTGTTGTCTGTTGTTGTTGCTGAAATAACTCACACAATAATTCTGTTTACTCTGCGACTCCTACTGACTGGCCCTTCACATCTGTCGAATGCAAATTAGGGAATAATGCCACTTCATTATACGGTCACAAAGCATTAAAACAACTAAGAATCCAGCAGTATTGAGAACCAACTGATAAGCTGTTGTAACGACAGAATGCAAGGGCAGGGCGACAGATCGTTCACTGAGAAAATCAACAGATATTTATAGATTTTTATGTACATTATTATTAACGTTATTGTAAGCAGAGAGGTAACGTCTTCTAATCAGTTGCTTTCCTGCTGAAGGTTTTTCCGTTATCTCTTTGTAGCCGTTTCTTAGATATTCCGTTGATATATCTGCTAATCGTATCCGCCCACGCTAAGTCTGCTGTGATTGGTTGTCTAGTTAGTCTTTGTTCTTGTTTTTTTCTCATGACCAAGATTTGGGACGTAAACATTGACGTAAATTGCTGTCTACCAAGTTTGGCTAGCAGAAAGCTGTCACCACACTATTACTCAATAAATATGTAAAATGAAACGAAGATGAATTAGACATAAGCTGGAGAAACGACTCAGAGACATAATGCATCAGGCCGTCGAGTGGAACGCAAACGCGTAACGTGAAGTTGGGCTTCCGTGTGTGACACGAAAGAGATGAAAGCATGTGAACAATCTTAGAGATAGCTGCAAAAAGATGGCATAGAGCATAGAGAAATTTGTTTCACTCGGAACACGATAGACGAATAGTAATAATGATAAGCTTTCTTATTATTCAATCGGTGAAATCCTGAGTAGAAAGCGAGTCGAAGAAAGAAAGAATAACAAACAAATAACGTTCTAAATAATACTGAAACATCCATCCAAAAGCTTAAATGACAAAAGATTCTAATCAGTTTGAAAGCAGTTCGAAAGTGTCAAACACGATGAAAACGTTCCACTGTCTTGGTTGAAAACGAACATGCAGTCACCACTTTACGGGTATCATTAAACCCTTCACAATAACCAGCAGAAGATAAGCAGTAGAGCAGCAGAATACTACATTTACAGAGGCGTGTGTCACTTGGTTTTCATTGCTGTCACCTTGGATTCTCTGTTAATAAAACTGGCTGATGATTTGATCATTTGACTTTTGTTAATCGGAAATCCATCTGGAAATCTACTGCACTCAGCGTATAGAACAAGACTAGAATTTTTAACACCAATGTCAACTCACTTCTTATATATATATATATATAATATATATATATATATGGGTCAGAAACTTTGAGCGTCGCAAAATAACATCTCGAATAGACTACTGCCGACTTTCATTTACATCTGCCTCTGGTGGTTCGATACTGAAGATCCCATTAGCTGGCTAGAAATGACTGACAACAAGAAACTCTGGGAACAAGACAACCAACAAATATACTTAAGGAAGTAAATATGCCTTGGATATATGCCGAGAAGACCACTGAGAAACACCACATGTCAAGCAATCCCTAGAGAGGACTGCGCATAGAAAATAACAAGTTGGGTTATGAGAGTGACACAAATGAGATCGTGTGAGGAGGAAATGAGATCTTATAAGCATTCATGCGGCCAGCTAAAAATGAATGTAGATAATGAGATGAATCGGAGATTTGCTCTAAGGAAATAATAATACAACATAGTTCTTACTCTTTCCTTTTTCCTACTCACTTACTTGTCTCTATTGTAAACGCGTGGTGTTCTTTTCTTCATTAACTAAATAAATATTCGACTTAGGACAGATTATCTTATGGTTCATTTATTTTTGTCCAATTAAACAATGGTCTCTTTGATCTATATTGTTATCGAGCTGCTTATCAGACTAAAGGTATATCGTTCAGCAACACACTTCAAGACTAAATTTAAGTTGAAAGAATATCATCAAGGGTGAAGTAAGGAAAAAATGTTTTATTATTATTGATTTTATTCCCTAGCGTTCTGAGTAGAACATAGCGCTTCACAACAAGACATCGCCACTTTGTTCTGTTGTTTGCCGTCCTCTTCAGCTAAGTCCACGATTGTCCGTAGTCTGTCATCTCCTCCTCCTCCCTAAACGATCTCGTCCATGTCACCCTCGCACCTACGACCTACTCATCGTCTCCCATTCGGATTCCATTCGAGCTGTGGCCTGCATTGCGCGTGATGTCATTCGACAGTCTTCTCAATGTAAGCTCGATCCACTTCCACTTTCTCCTGCATATTTGTTGAGCGATCGGCTCTCACCTGTTGGTTTGTTTCCCAGCCAGAGCTTCTTGTTGCTAATTTTTTTTCTGGTCAACTGGCCATTTGATCTTCAGTATGCAGCTAGAGGAGACAGATGTTGATAAAAGTCTGTAACTTGCTGGAAATGCTTTTCGTGAGACGCAGTGCAAGTTTATGACCCATGTAAAAAGACTGACTTGACATTGTTGTTGAAAATGCGAATCTTCTTCCTTATGTTGAGTGCAGAAGATTTCCAAACTGTTTTCAGATTGATGAAGGTGTATCTTGCCTTTCCGATTCTGACTTTCAAATCTTCGTTCCTTTCCGCCTGTATATTTGAAACGATGCTTCCCAGATAAGTGAAGGAGGCAACCTCTGTTAAACAGTTTCTTTTTCTGCTCGTAAATATAGATTAAAATTCCGAATATATGAATACAATGAAAGTGTAAGTCTCTACAGTAACTCAGTTTAGTCCTTAAAACTTGATCGCGCAAAAGATTGACAAATCTCTGATTAATCTGAACCAGGTATGCTGAGGAACGCATTTTTTTTTGATAACCCACTCCGTGAAATCTTAGTGCCATCACCTGTACAACAGTCCACTTCTGTTGCCTATACACTGGCTAAACCAGTTTTTATGAAACAAATAGAAATACAACAGTACAATTTGTTAGTCGCATAGTGGAGAGAAAATATTTCCCTTCACTGTACAAAATCTTTGTTCCAATTGGACGCATAAGTGGTTATATGTGTCACTTATAGAGATTTTGAATGAAATATATCGCGTTAAAATCACGAATCAGTACAAGTTAGAATTCGTGGGTCATTTAAGTAAGGTCCCAGTGGCTGAATGGTCTATGAGCTTGACTTGTAAATAGAAGATCCTGGGTTCAAACTTCAGTTTGTACGTGCTATTGATGAGTCCCAAACTAGGATGAAACAGGTAGTTGTCGAGTACTCCCTGGTCTTCAATGGTTCTCTGACTGATATTGATCCATGGTTAAACTTGAAGATAGTATTATAGATAGCTTTCACAACTAAATATTGTACAGTCATTAGATTGTGATGAAAATAGAAGTATGATTGGCAATTAAACTTGTGTATTTTTTAAAGGCCTCCATTATTACCAATCACTTATTTGTTACATTTCACATATAGAAATTAGGTGTTCTTCAATTTCTAAAACTCCTAAGGTATATCTACTCTTCAGTGTCCTTTACTAAATACTAGTATATAAACAATATGTATATTACATACAACACATTGTGCAATCTTTACTATTTTATTCAAGTGTTGGTTTGTAGGAATTTGATGGTTTACAGGATTTCATCATGAGCTGACATTAGTTAGAGAACCATTGGAAAACCTGGGGGTACTGGACAGCTGCTTCGTCCTTGTTCGGGACTCTTCATCAGTACGACCCTACCTCCTGGTTACAAGGCGAGCTCGCATACCACTAAGCCACTGGGACCCAATCCAATGGCCCATGAATTGTAACTTCTGCAAATTCACGACATAGCGCGACCCCTAGCCAATGTCTTCGGCAAGTATTTATCTTCACACCCGACCTGCTGCACCCTATTTTACTATTTTAGTAGTCAAGCATGTTCTCCCCTCAACACCTTTCTTTTTTCTATACTCTTTCTCTAAGTACTATTGACTTTTGTGGAGGTAATTGTGCATCCGATAACCGTTTTTGTTTCTTTTTACTTTTTCTATATCTACAGAAATATTTACCAACACAAGATTCCTTGGATAATTGTCATAAATATCCTATAGAAAGCATAAAAAGTATCAATGAAACTTCTGTACATACAACTAAACCAGTTCATATAACCTACAGTCCATCCTATCAACAAGGTGATAAAATTAATTCAGAATATACTAATAATTTATTAAATAATTCTAGCATTTCTATAAATCATTGTAAAGATAATCAATTGAATAATCAGTCATCATCTTCCTCAGAGTTTATTAACCAACCTATTCGTATAAATAACTTAAATTCAAAAAGTGGACATCCTACACATAATTTTGTATCAAATATTTTACAACATACAAATAATTGCCGTAAAAGTTGGAATAGTTCTGGTTCATCTAATCTTGGTAAGTGGAAAACAATCTCCTTAATGTATATGTATAACTTTGATGTTACTTCAATATTCGTATTATTATAACTCCTTTGGGTTCTGGGTGAAACGTAGCGGCTTCTATATACCTATATTTCATCCTGTCCTCTATAGTTCTCTTTTACCCTGGCCTCACGATTGCGCATAATCTCTTAACTCCTTTTCACACTGTCTCGTGTCCATTTCACCCTCATCGGTTCCCCCCCTTGTGCTTCATTCTAGTGATTGCCTGGAGTGGAGCGCGGTGTCACTTAGCAGTCTCCTCAGAGTTATTCCAACTCATCCCTATTTTATTCGACAAGTTTGTAGAACAACAAGTTTGTTTTCAGAACTCCTTGTGACTAATCCTTTCTGGCAGATCATCTGATTTCCCTTATGAAACGAAGGTGGCTGTTGATAAAAGTCTTAAGCCTGTTCAAAATGCTTTACGTGACGCTCAGTGCTAGTTTCTAACCCGTATAGAGAAACTTACTTGATAGAAATGTTGAAAATTCGAATTTTTATTCTACATGCTGATTGAAGAAGATTTCCAAATTGATTTCAGTGTTCCTTGACTTTCCCATTCTGGATTTGACTTCCTTAACCGTTCCACCCTGGGGATAAAATGATGCCCTCTAGATAGGTGACGTTATAATTAATTTATTGTGAAAGTGTCAGTTTGCAGGGATTGGCTTAGTTTGAAGTTAGACAACAAACCGAAGTAAATCAATTTTCTGCAAACTAACACTCGAAATTTCATCTAATATTTACTAGTTACAAACCATAGGATGAAATTACATGAAGTTTTTGTGAAAAGTCATCACCAGTGGGGCCTGCCGAATCGTATATGAGGACAAATACACTTCATTGATATTTCCTGGTGATTGAGCTTTACATGGCGAAATGACAGAAGTAAGGACCTATAGGCCATTAGATGGTCAGCTGGATTCAATTACTGGTGAGGCAGTGGGCGCTTGCTTTCTACTGAAGAGTCTTATGCCGAGGGGAAGAGTCTGCCTAGTAAACTCTGATTTTCAGTGGTTCGTTAAATGGTATCAGTTTGTAATTGAACTGAATTCCAGGAAATTGGACTACGGCAGATTCGCTCACGCCATTATTGCAAAAGTTTGGGAAAGAAGGAAAGGTACCTACTGATTGGAAGAAAGGCTACCTTGTCAACCTGCCAAAGAAGGCCGACTTAGGCCTCTGCAACAGACGGCATGGAATAATGCTCTTGTCCACGCCAAGAAAAGTACTAAGTCGTATCATCCTGGAGAGAATGAAAAATGCACTAGATGCAGAACTTCGCCACCCACCGGAAGAAGCTAAATTCAGGAAAAGCAAATCATGGGCTCATCGAATTGCAACTCTACGCATCGTCATTAAACATGAAACGCATGGAATGGAAGTCAAACATCACTCCACCTCAACTTCATCGACTTTGAAAAGGCCTTCACTAGACAGAGTTGACTGAGAAGTAGTTTGTAAATTACTTCAACACTACGGCTTGTAGTGCCCAAGTCTTTATCAACTTCATTCAACAGCTGGCTATGTGACAGTGCCACGTTTCAGGTGATCCACAACGAGAAACTCAACGAGGCGTTCCAAGTGAATACAGGAGTAAGATAAGCTGACTGCCTATTATCACCGATAATATTCTTGAATATGATGGAGTGGATTATGCGTCAGACTGCGCTCAGTGAGCGAGGAGATAGGATTTACTCTGGACTTACCGGTAAGAAGACTCTAAAAGACCTGAATTTCGTGAGTGGATAATTTATGTTTAATGTCACACAAACTCGCAGACTTGCTGGCGAAAACCAACGAAGTGCTAGAAGAGGCTGGTAGAGAAGACAGCACTGAGGGTGAACATAGAGAAGACCGAGGCGATGAAGATAACCAAGCAATGGCAACAACAACAACAACCAGTACCAATCAACATCAGTGGGAGAGATTTGACAGATGTTACCTTCTTCACTTATCTTGGAAGTAGCTTTGCACCTGCAGGCAATCGGCAAGGATCAAATTGTCAACACCGGCCAGAATCGGAAAGGCAAGATATGCCTTCATCAATCTGAAAACAGTTTGGAAATCTTCTGCACTCAACATAAGGAATAAGATTCGCATTTTCAACAACAATGTCGAGTCGGTCCTTCTACAGGGGTCAGAATCTTGGCCAGTGTGTCACAAAAAGTATTTTCAATAAGTGACAGACTACCACCAAAAGCTACCTTCTCTAACTGAATACTGAAGATCAAATGGCCAACCGGCCAGAAACAATTTACAAAAGAAACTCTGCCTGGGAACAAACCAATTAAGGTCCGATCAGTCAACAAATTATTATTATTGTTTCCTTTATTTCCTAGAAGAACATAGGGCTTCAGCCACACGTCTCCATTGCGTTCGGTTCTCTGCCAACGTTTTAACCTGGTTACACGTCTGGTCACATGCTTTCATCTCCTCCTCACTTGACTTCCTCTACGTTACCCTCGCATTGACGACCGAATCGACGCTTCCCATTCGGGTTCCACTCGAGAGACGGCCTGGTGTGTGGTGTCACTTGATGGTTTTCCCAGAGTATGGCCGATTCATCTCCATTTCTTCCTGCATATTTGTTGCACAATCGGTCCCTGCTGGGTTGGTTCGCTACCAGAGATCCATGTTGCTGATCCTTTCTGGCCGGCCATCTTATTTTGAGTGATATTGAAGGAAGACAGCTGCTGATGAAGGTCTGTGGTTTTTTGGAAGTGTGCCTTTCATGACGAGGTGCCACGTCTCTGATCCGTATAGTCAGTAGCACTGACTTGACATTCGAGTTGAAAACCCGGATCTTATTTTCCATGCTGAGTGCTTTTGACCTCAGCGCATACTTGAGAGTAATGAAAGCTTGCCTTGTTTTCTTGGTCCTCACTTTGACATCCTCATCAGTTCATCCGTCTGTAGTTGAAACGATGCTTCCGAGGTAGGTAGGTGTATAGGTAAAGGAGGTCGCTTCTTTCAGATTTCTCCCTCTTATGCTGGCGGATTGTTGTCTGGTGTTGTTGATGTTCCTGTTGGCCATCACCTGGTTTCATCACCTCTGTTTTCTCTATGTTCACCTGAAGTCTTGTCTTCTTTGGATGCTCCTTGTATCAACTTGTTGCTTTTCACTTGCATATCTTCCAGTTTGTGGGAAATCAGACACATATCATCGGCGAAATCCAGATCCTCTAAGTTTTTTTGTGTGTGGGTCCCTTTTAGGCCTGTTCACTCGCTGCTCGCTGTCTGTCACATCATTCAATCCACTGCAATCAGAAAAAATCATTGGAGATAGCAGGCAGTCAGCTTGTCTTACTACCGTGTTCACTTGGAAGGAATTCGTGAGTTTTCTGGTGTGGATTACTTGGCATACAGCATTGTCGCACAACTGTTGGATGAGATGTATAATTGTTGGAGGCACCCCGTAGTAGCGAAGTAGCTGCCAAATCACTTCTCTATCGACGCTGTGGAAGGCCTTTTCAAAGTCAATGAGGCTGACTACCATTCCAAGCTCTATTCAACAAATATGAAGGAGAAAATGGAGATGGGTCGGGCATACATTGAGGAGACTGTCGAAGGACATCGCTCGCAATACAGGCCACAGCTCAAGTAGGATCGAAATGGGGAATGACGAGTAGGTCATAGGTGCAAGGCAGACATGGAGGAGATTGTTTGTGGAGGAGTAGATGAGAGATAATGGACAGTCGTGGACTCAGCTGAAGATGACAGCAGACAACAGAAAAAAGTGAAGCTATGTTGTTGTGAAGCCCTGTGTTCCACACGGAATGCAAGAAAACAATAAATGAATAATAATGAAGTTTATGTTATGGTAATTTAAGTAATCAGTTTGAATATTAATCAGACTTGTAAGCTTTAATTTATTTAATAGCTGAATAACCTCAGTGTATTTTTAAAGCCATAATATAGACTGATCAAGCTGTATTTAGCATCACATGTGCTACACTTAGCGTCGTTGCCAGAATTTCCTATAAAATCACTTGGTTTGTTTACTCGTGAATTTATGTTTACAAAATACGATTTCTTTTTCTATAGTGTTACTTTGTAGGCATTTGATTCGTCTGAAATTCGATTACAGATTAGTATCAGTTAGAGAACCATTGGAAACTATAGAGTACTGTACAGATGTTTCATCCCCTCTTGGGAATCTTCAGCAATATGCAGCCGTGACTCCATCAAGAACGGAACCTAGGACCTTCAGGTTATGAGGTGAGCTCACTGATCACTCACTTGCAATGATAGGATCCAGTAGGAGGCCATGAATTCTCAGCCTAGGACAAAAAAAACCTGCCCAGTGCTTTCAAGTTTTCAATGGTTCTTTAAATGACAATAATCCATGATCGAACTTGAAACCGGTCAGATGCCCAAAAGGTGACGTTTGAAAATATCTTTTACAATGAATAGAAGAGGTGAAAAGTCAGCCTCTTGCAAATCTGTGAAATATAATTTAATCAATAACAAGTCATGAGCAAAAAGGATTTTTATTATTATTATTATTACAACTAAGTACTGTAAGTATGATATTGATGTACGCCTAAATACTTGTATTTAGCTTACTATACTCTATTGATTCACTTCACTAATACTTATAACTACTACTTTTTAAGTATGACGGGCGAATGCACAAAGATGTCTAGCAATATGAATCCTTGTTCTCTTTATGTCAACAAATTGTCAACAAAAGAAAATAACAAACGTGATAAATTTATTAGACCTAATAAATCTTAAACAAATATTTTTTTCATTCACAGCATAAATAAGAACAAAATGACAGATAAGTAATGATAAATTAAATATCGATATAAGATTAGATAGATATCATACCTAGAGAATCACAGTGAGACATGATCGATATTTTTATTTTACAGGAATTTACTGTAACTCTTATCATTACTTCACTATTCATTAAATTGGAAATTAGGAATTCAAAATAATAATGTGTGTTGCTGGTTCACAGTGGGAAGAATACTCTCAAACCAATGCACATGATCGACGATTCGATTCCCGACCGGCACACCCTTAAACTCTGCTTAGTTTACTAGCCGATAGTGAAGATAAAAAAAAGAGGTAATGTAAGGGAACGAGGGTAACAACCCCATCCTGTATAAAAAAAATCTTCGTTACTGAAACTTTAAAGCTTGAAGTCCATCCAGCCTTCCACTTGGAAGACAAATGCATGAAACAGAAGTTCAAAATAATGTTTGAAGTTGTAAAATGAACACCAAAATCAGAACAAGATTCGTACGAATAGTACTTGGGATACTTAGCTATCAGCTAACTGGTTCACAATGCTAATTCATTCAGTATTTTGAAGTATTGGTTTTGTAAGGAATTCGATTTGATTGGTTGGAGGATTTCATCATGAGCTGAAATCAGTTAGAGAACCATTAGAAAACCAATACTTGAAAATTACTCTGATGCTCATTAGCGACTGGCCCTTTTCACGCAGTTAACCTGGGGTTCCAATGGGAAGCCGTGACCAGTAGGGTACAACAAGTTGAAGGTGAGGACGTAACTCATCGAAGAAGACATTGCGAAGTGGACGTGCTATGTCGTGAACTGGCAGAATTCATGGAGTGGCCATTGTATCGGGTCCGAGTGGCTAAATGGTCTACGATCTCAACTTGTAACCAGAAGGTCCTCGATTCGAACTATGGCGGTGGGTTCGTACTGATGGAGAGTCCCAAACTACGACAAAACAGCTATCCAGTACTCGTTGGTTTTCCAATTGTTCTCTAACTGATATCAGCTCATGATGAAATCCTCCAACCGATCATTCAGTATGTCATTTTCTGTAGAAGGAAAAAATTCCAGAAACCAAATTATGAACCATAGGTTTGTCTACATAACAATGTCTTCAGATTTTCTACTTTTTACATGCATTAGAATATGTGTGATTTGTATGGGCATTTTATGCACTTCGATAATGGTCCCATAAATTACAAATGCGACATTGAAGTTTTTGGTTACAGGATTTCATCATGAGCTGACATTGGTTAAAGAACCATTGGAAAACCTGGAAGTACTGGACAGCTGCTTCTTCCTAGTTTAGGACTCTTCAGCAGTACGTGCTCACCGGAGCTCGAACACAGGATCTTCTGGTTACAGGGTGAGCTCCTAGACCATTGAAATTTTTATTGGATACAACTTTAGAATTAAGCCATGCATTCGGTGGCATCAATTTTCCACTCTTTCAAATCCCTCCCGTTGATGGCGATTGGCGCTGGATGTTGCTGTTGTTGTTGGTGGTGGTGGTTATTTTCATAACTTCCGTCTTGTCTATGTTCACATGGAGTCCTGTCTTCTCCGGCTGCTTCTTCGACCAGTTTGTCGGTTTTCGCTTGTGAGTCTTCGATTTTGTGTGACATCAAGCATAAATCATCCGCGAAATCCAGGTCTTCTAGATCCTTCATGCTGGTACAGGATATCCCTGTCTGCTCGTTTCCCACTGTCTGACGCATAATCCAGTCAGTCAATAACAGGAATATCACTGCTGATAATAAAAAAGCACCCTTGTCTAACTCCTGTATTTACTCCAAACGCCTTGCTGATTTTTCCTTTGTGGATCACTTGAAAAAAACCGTTGTCGTACAGCTGTTGAATAAGGTTGATAAATATTCGGGGTATGCCGTAGTACTCAAGTAGTTTCCAAATTACTTCACGGTCAACGTTGTCGAAGGCCTTCTCAAAGTCTATAAAGTTGAGGTAGAGCTTTGATCGCCATTCCATGCTTTGTTCAAAGATGATGATGTGTAGAGTTGAAAAAATTTGGTCAGAACATGATTTGCCTTTCCTGAATCCAGCTTGTTTTGGTCGGAGTTCTGTCTCCAGTGCGTCCTTTATTCTCTCCAGGATGATATGTTTCAGGATTTTACTTGGCGTCGATATAAGCATGATTCCTCGCCAGTTCTTGCAGAGTAAAACCTAAGTCGCCCTTCTTTGGTAGTTTCACTAGGTAACTTTCCTCCAGTCAGTAGGCACCTTTCCCTCCTTCCAGACCTTTTGCAATAATGGATTCAGTATATCTGCTGTAGTCTCTGGGTCCGCTTTTAGTGCTTCAAGAGGTACTCCATCTGGTCCAACTGCTTTTCCAGCTTTCAGAAGCTTGATTGCACTCAAGACTCCAGCTCTCGTTGGAGGATTGGTGTCAACTTGCAGTTGTGTGACCGCCGTTGTTGGTATTTCTGGACGGATTGCAGGTAATGGTCGGTTCAAGAGTCCTTTGAATTGATCCGCCCATTGTTTAATCTGTTTTTCTTCCTTGGTAAATGGGTTCCCTTGGCTGTCTTTTATAGGTTTTGCTTGTGTTGATCTCTTCCCGGATAGAGATTTGGTTATCTGATATAATGTCCTCAGGTCCCTTTCGCCTGCTGCCTTCTCAGCTTCAGTGGCGAGGTTGTCGTAGAATTGTCTTTTGTCCTTCCTAGCACTCTTCTTCACTTCTTTGTCCAGTGCTGTGTAAGTTGAGCTCAGCGTCTCCTTCTCCTGTCCGTCCTTGCATTGAATCATTTTCTCTTTCACCATTCTCCTCTCCTCTATTAGTTTCCAAGTGTCCATTGAGAGCCATTCTTGTCTTGTCTCTTCTTTCTTCCTAAAACCGTTGAACACGTTTTGTTGAAAATCACCTTCACAGAGTTCCAGTGGTCTTTCACGCATGATTCTTCAGTGATGTCGCGTAGTGTCTCCTGCTTTGCTCTGACAGTTGCAGTGGAAGTGTCCTTTGTTGTTGTGTCCTTCAGTTTCTGAGTGTTGAGCTTGCATTATGGCCTATCCCCAGCTATCCTCGAGGCTTTTGGCTTCACCTTAAAAGTCCCTTGTACTAGATAGGGGTCTGAACCCACATCTGCTACTCTCCTCGACCTTGTGTCCAGTAGGCTCGGTCTCCACTTTCTTGAGATTGAAATGAAGTCTATCTGGTTTTTGGTGTGTCCATCTGGTGTAGTCCATGTCGCCTTGTGTTTGAACACACTACCGCCAATCACCAAATCATTGAAGGCGCAGAAGTCTGAGAAGAGTTCACCATTGTCGTTCATTTCACCGACAGCCTCTCGACCCATGGTGAGTTCTCTTCCTGTGTTGTCTCCTCCCAGCTTCGCATTCATGTCGCACATCAGGATTTTGATATCGCCATTTGGGACGTTGTTCATTACTGTTTGTAGTTGTCTGTAGAACGCCTCCTTCTTCTCTTGTTCTGAGACGTTTGTAGGAGCATAGCATTGAGTGACTGTAACCTTCCTTCCTTTTGAGTTGAACCTGGTTGTCATTATCCTTGAGGAGATTGGTTCCCACTGCATGAGAGCTTTGGCTGCTGTTGGTGACATCATGATGGCCACTCCCTCGGTGTGCTCGTGATTGTCCTCTGGGTGACCGGAATAGATTATTCCCCCCCCCAGTTTGTATTTGGCACCTACCACATCCGTTCCATCTGCTCTCGCAGATTCCCAGCACTTCTATTCTATATCTCCTCATTTCAGCGGCTATCTATCTGGGCAGCCTTTCCAGTTTCGTACATTGTACGAACATTCCATGTACCAATCCTTACTTTTGCTTTCATCGAAAGAAGGCACATAGGCTGACTGGCTTCCCGAAGGCTTTCACCAGCCTGCGTCATTTCACTTCCCCGATTCCAGCGAAAAATAAGGTTACTGTTTATATTTTTAGAAGTTTTAATATATTGGTGCATTGAAGTTTCTGTAGCAGTTTGGTTAAGTTTTGGGGGTGGAGTTGCTAGCACCACGCCCCAACCCTCCCTCTTTTACCTGGCTTGGGACCGGCTAGAAAACTAGCAAGCTAGTAGTCTAGGCGAGGTCTGATAAGATGAATAGTTAGTTTAATGAATGAGTTGTAATCAGGATGCACACAGAAACAGAGGAAATTGTGAAATTACGTAAGAGTTTGAAAGAAATACAAGACTTATAAAAAAAGAAAACAAACAAAATCAAGCTAGTCGGAAACAACGAGGTTGTTGTCACCATGATAGTAGAAGTCGCCGTTTTTAGTTGGTAGAGCAACTTGTCTGATAACGAGCTAGACCTTAGCCTACTAACTAGTTAGTACACTGGTTCTCTGTGCACGTTCAGGACACGGCTTCCATTGCTTCTTTATGGAGTAATATTGTCGTTATCTAGCAGGTACGGTGCCAGTTTCTACTTCTTAGAGGGACAAACAGCTCATTGAAGTCATATGGAATTGAGCACTAATAGGTCTGTAATGCTATTAGATGTCCGGAGCCAAAATAGAATTGCTAGCGTGTTTCAGAACCTGGCGTGAAAGGGTTGGGTAAACTGTTTTATCAGCATCATGGCTGGGGTCGGGAAACAAGGAATTCCTCGTAAGTGCAAATCATATTCTTGAGTTGATTACATCCCTACCCTTTAAACACACCACTCATCTCTGCTCCCGATTGAATGGTTTAGTAAAGCCGTTGGATTAACATCGTTGCAATAGCTCTGCATCTCGACGGATTCCTAGAACACTGTCTCATTTGACTATTTAGATGAATTAATAGAAAGATCATTGCGAGATATTCTTACATGTATCTATATGAAGCACAATTACCGTAATATACAATAGTGAAGGCAACAGGTCAGTTGCCCAATCCCTCAGTACCATAGGATGCGTTGCATATGCGTTTAGTACACATTTCTTGAGCTTCTCTATGTGAATGGCTAGGTAGAGCTTCAGTTATGCAAAGGCGACGAAAGCTTATTGTCTTTGGCAGGTTGTCTTTCACTTTGCATTTTCACTTTGAAGGATAAGCTTATTGAGAGAGAATGTTCAGCATTGAGAAAATGTTCAATGATCACCCTCCTTATAGAACCATTGCTATCTTTCTACAACCATGTGGGATAGTGTTTTAGAAGTCTTTCGTACAGGATATATATATATATATATTCATCGCTCATTTATGTTGAACATGTTGAATTTTGTAGATACTCCATTCGATGAACAAAGCGTATCCAAATAAAGCTTTAAACAGCGCTTACCAACGGCTATTTCAATGACAAAATGTAAAGAAAAACAACAAAATCACGTGATGCATATCTTGAACATTTATAAATTAATTAATTAATTAATTAAAAAAATCAAAAGAAAAAGTTACAAGACTTTGTTTCAATGTATCAATGTAAAATAATTTTTAAATTATCATTATCCATATGAATGTATGCATAAATCCACTAATCGTATACAACATACTGAACCCTTAAGCATCATTTTTAATTGTGTTCATCATTGATTCTCTCTACATTGTTAGTCGTTTCTACTGTTGTCGTTATCATCATTATTATTGTTATTATTATTATTACTGTGACCGTTAGATTATTTTTTTCTTAAAGAAATGAAGCTAAAGTCTTCTTTAGCGTATTTATTAAATGCAAACAAGCTTCTTTTCTTTTTTTTCATTTTTACTTCAATAGGCATATGTTACCATTACAAATAGTTATATCTACCGGTTGCTTTCTTATCTTCACATTTAATATTCCCTTGTTCTACAGATTTATTTGTCTAACTAACTCTCTGATTGATAACTATGATCATGATATTATTCAGAGATTTAAAAATTAAATATCGATTGTTACGCCATAGTGTTATTTTTGCTTTATATTAACAACAAAAATTGAACAACATGTACTTTACTTAGCAAGGTTGCTTCTTATTGTATTTCAGATGTATAAAATCCTCGTTTTTATTCTCTCTGTCATACTGTGTGTACCTATTTGAGAGACAGAGAGAGATGGATACAATAAAGAAAAATGAGTTTTTTTGTTTTTAAATCGTTTTTCTTTTCTCAAATCATTTTCGAGAAAAGATACACAGACGAACACAGGCACACACACACACAGAGTGGTGCCTGGTTCTTTATCTCTTCAGTGATCGTTTCATAATTTTTCATGTTTATAGAAAGATAAATATTGTCCATATAAATGATAATGTATGACAAAGTATTCAATTTGTTATTATTTTATCCCTTTACGTCCCCAAGTGGAACAGAAGGATTCAAGCTAGAAGCTTAAAGTTTCTGTAGCAGTGGTGTTGATTTATTTTTACGGGATGGAGTTGCTAGCCTCGTACCAAATGTTCCTTCTTTACCAGTCTTATTAGGGGTTCAGCGAGGTAAAGGGATGAGTCAGTGGCTGGGGATCAAACCCTGGACCACCTGCGTCGTTGGCGAGCATTCTACCGATGTTTAAGTGTTGGTTTGTAGGGATTTGATTGATTGGTTACAGGATTTCATCAATGAGCTGACAATGGTTAGAGAACCATTGGAAAGCATGCAGAAAGTACTGGACAGATGTTTCGTCCTAGTTTGTGACTGTTCATTAGTACGCACCACCGGGATTCGAACCCAGGACATTCTGGTTACAAAGCGAACTAGCTCGTAGACCATTCAGCCACTAAGGCCCTATCCAATGGTCAGCCCATGAATTCTAACTTCTACCAATTGAAGACATAGCGCGACCCCTAGCCGATGTCTTCGGCGAATATTTGTTCTCATACCCGACCTGCTGCACCCTACTGGTCACGACTTCTCACTAGAACCCCAGGTAACTACCTACCTGAATAGAGCGAATCGCTAGTGAGCATCTCATTGACATTTAGGTGTTAGTTTGTAGGGATTTTGTTGGTTACAGGATTTCATCATGAGGTGCACCCAGACGCTTTCATTTTGTTATATGATAGCTAAAAGTGGCATTCGGGAGGTGTATTTTGTTAAGAAAAAAAATGTATCAATGAATGTTATTTGTACTTCATAGTTGTACTGAATTCAATGTTCCATATATATATAAGTATTGGCAGTTGAGACAATGTTCAGACAAGACAAAACACATGACGCATTCTTCCATCAATTGTATTATCATATAAATAAACTGAATTGTCTCTTCAAGATACTTATATGTAAAATACCAATAATTCAATTTAACAAAATAAACAATAATAAATTAATGAATATTGGAGAAAACATCAAAATTTTATATAATACACTTAAATGTTTATCTATGATTTTGCTGTTACTTGAATGACATTATTTCTCTTCAGTTTATTACATCGATTTCTCCATGCTTATATTTTGAAGAGATGTTTTAATCATCTAGTAGATTGATTGAAGATGCCCATTTGGAAATTTAAAATAGTGATTAATGAACTAAAGAATACTCTTTTCGATAAATTCTTCTTCATCAGGTTGTACATTTATATGACAATAATAATTAAAGAACCATTACTATTAACAACATTAATGTTTCAAATTATATTAAACCAGTTGTATTAATAGATCACATTTCAAAAGCACCAGTGACAGAGAGATAATATGCATTAATATAATCCTAAACTGATCATTATTTTTATTATTATATCCGTTAATTCCTAGAGGAACATAGGGCTTCAGCTGCGCACCTCCATTGCCTTCGGTTTTCTGCCAACTTTTTCACCCCGCTCCAAGTCTGCCCACATGCTTTCATCTCCTCTTCACATGACCTCTTCCAAGTCACCCTTGCCTTGACGACCAACTCGCCCTTTCGGTTTCCACTCAAGGGCTTGTTTAGTAATGTCACTTGATGGTTTCCTCAGAGTGTGGCCAATCCATTGCCATTTATTCCTGCCTATTTGTTTCACAACAACAACTCAATATCAGATAAATTAGGAGAAGTAATACAGGACTTACGAATTCATTAGTTCGATAGCATTCCAGGATAGTGATAGTGGCTAGAACTGTTTCTCTGGCATGCAGAACTCCGGTTGATTCAAGTGAACCGCGTAACACAAAGCTATCATTAAAAAAAATCTTTTTATGCTATCTATCAGACATCGAATAAATGACTAGGGATCTCTAGATACGGAACAGTCTAAATAGCACAAACCATTGCAGTTCGCTTAAACCTAACGGAGCTCTGCGTGCAAATAAAGTAATAGGTCCAGTCACTGTTGCTACTCTAGCCTGCTTTAAAACCTATAAACTCTTAAATTCTGTGTTCATTCCCCTAATTTATCTGACATTCAGTTTAGTGTTATATTAATGCATACCACCTCTTACTGATGCTTTTGAAATGTGATCTATTGATATTATCGATTCAGTGTAGTTTAAAACACTAACGTTGTTAATAACAATAATTCTTTAATTTTTTACTGTTATACTAATGTAAAATCTATTAATGATTCTATTAGATTGTTACTTCGAAAACATATGAAGAATAATTCCCTTTCAGCATCATTAATACACTTGTGTTCAGAGGAAAATTATTTCTTCATGTGGTCCGGGATTTCGGTCTCCGGTTGGTGCACTTCTAAACGTCACGTAGCCTATGGTAATCCCAGCAAAGGCGGAAGGTACGGTTTAGAGCTAAAAACACCACATCTACTGAAACTTCAAAACGCAAGCTTGAAGCCCTCCTATCTTCAACTAGGAGAATAATGAAAGTTTTTCAGGAGTTGATTTGTCGGTTGGTAGTGAACTTTAGTTTTCCTTTTTCTAGTTGACAACTTACTTCGAAAAATATCTGTATTTATTGTACGAGATATTGTTAAGTGTCATTCCAAAACTTATGTAATCTAAATAATGTCATGTCTGTCCTCGATAAATGCGAAATTCAAATAAAAAACAAGCTGGAATAAATCCATATAAAACAAGTTATGCAGTTGTGTGGATACATTAATATTGTAAAGGTAGAAGATGAGAGACTCGGTAGAGGAATGCTTATTTTCTATTCGGTATCTCTCTATAGCCAAATGATGTACACCTCATCTCCAATAGGATTATGAGCAGCAATCAACAGTTCTCGAAACGTCACCCAGTTATATAAATACTGTATCAGTGTATGTGTTATATTGAATAAACTTATCTAATATGAAACTATACTTCTATCATAGTGCCCAAATTCTAGACATGCGTTTCTTATCCCTAGTTAATTAAAGCTTTCAAATAAAATGACAGTTCCTCAAGTGAAAGCCTGTATACTATGTGGACAAGAAATGTTGAAATGATGAATAAATTCATAATTTCATAAACTAGACACATCCCACTAATTACTAGTGTCCAGTCAGAGTATCCACAACAGTCCAACAGAAAGTCGATCGTGAGCCCTAATAGTTCAGTGGTAACGTCTCTGACTGCAACACTGGGTAGCGCATGTTCGAATCTCAGAAATGACATGAGTTCTTTCAAGTTTGCAGATATGCCTTGCTGACTGGTAGGTGCCAACTAGCATGAAACCTAGGTGGAAGGCTTCCTGTGGCCGATTGTCTTCAACCATCTAATATCATAAACTAATCCATTAAGTGGATAAATCAATAAATTTCTGTCTTCGTTTCGAGAATTATACAGTTCGATAACATTGTCAAACATTTAAATTGCAATGTAATTTGTCAAGTCGTTATTGCATACATCAGACTCATAAAGTTACTTCAAACATCTGCGTAATAACTTGAAGTAAAGCTTATAAAAAATAGTTCACACATTACCTTGATTATTTGATGAAGGTGAAAGACAACCTTGTCTAATGAGAATATATATACTGTTCTTAGAGAAAGTCACGTGAAACAAAGTTCTTAATATCTAGAATTCTAATTGTCAAAAGACACAATTTGATGTAAATAAGCCTGTTTTACATGTGATCCAATACCTGACTAACTATTTGAATAGAAGAAAAGATAAGTAATTCTGTGATGAATAGGAATGACGGGTTGTGGTAGAATGTCATCTTGATCCAACACCGCCCCGACAAAGTGACGTAGTCAGTCAAAATTTGATCAAAACGGTTTTTTTCATCACTTAAACCCACATAATATCTGTTTTTTTCTACCTCATACACTCAAAAAAATCTGCACTTATTTAACACCTTTATTAGTTCAATCACTTGACATACGCAGAACTAGCTTGATAGAAGAAATATTCTGACAGTAGTATGGCATGCGCTACTGATAAGATTTATCAGTAGTATATTAAGAGACGTTCTTCGATATAAAAATATC